CCCCCCGTCTCCCTGATGCCACTCTGTTGCCTGAACATCCCAATAGGTTGGATCCTTTTCAGTCAGCCCAGCAATCTGTTTCACAAGCTACATTGTCAGATCAGCCCCAGGCCTTCGTAGGCCTTCAGCCAGCTTCGATTCTTCCCCATGTGTCTCCCTGTCATTCTCCGTCTTCCTTTTCAAGATCATCTTCTTCACCCTCTGTAATGTTTTCTTCCTCCTCATCCATTCTCTCTCCGCCCTCCTCTTCTACATCTCCATCTCTCCCCTGCTCCTCCAGCCCCCTTTTGCCTACTCCTTTGCATTCATCTCCATCTCCATCTCCAACCTACTTAGCTTTTCCCTCTCCGATTTCTCCTGTTTCTCCTTCCTTTGTGATTTCTTCTTCCTTCCCCCCTATGCTTCCCTCTCCCTCCATTTCTGTCTCCCCGTCGCCTTTTATCTACTCTTTCACTCCTCACTGGGGGAAGACAGTAGAGAAGAGAAGAGAAGAAAGTGGAGTAGAGAAGAAAGGAGTAGCGAAGAAAAAGTTGAAAGACGACACCCTTAAAGGTAACTAAATGGAGTTTATTAGCTGTTTTGTAGATCTAGATTTGTTTCATTTGGGAAGGGGAACCACAAGGAAGGATTATGTAAGAGTAGGGAAGTATCAAAGGAAGACACACAAACATACCCTCAGTGTTCAGGAGCCTGAACTGAATACATTCTTGTTCTAACTGACCTCCCTGTAGTAACAGAGAGGTAGTAATCTAATAATCGTCAATAATCCTTAACCTTGACTATTCTAGTCTGTCCAAATAAGATATGTATGGGTATTGGAGATGGGTACACATCACACGTGGCCATGTGTCACCTTCCAAACATTTTTATACTCATTGAATTGGGAATAATTTAACTGAATTGGGAAGAATTGGCCTTCAAATTTGGACTCCTGGCCCTAGCGCAGCAAGCATTCAGCTGTATGATTCCTTCGTCCCATCTCACATCTTCCAAAATCTTTCCTTAGGTCCTTGTTTTTCACTTGTGTATAAACTGAAATTAACATGTTGTAGGTTTGCAGATAATGCAAATTTTTGAATAGATGACGATATTCGAGTGCCATTTGGACACACTAAAAGTGAATGTCAGAGATGCTCTCTGCACCATGAAAACTGTGCTTATGTTAGTGATTAGATTCCTGAAACAAGCTAAAACGAGTGTGTACCCTTGTCAGTGAATGAGAAGCAAGCTTCCAAATGTGGTTAAGTGGAGAGGGATTTCCTGCCCATCCCGATGAGCAGTTTCATAGTTAGTATGTGCCTGAATCTGCAGCCAACCTTCTTTAGGTTATAAACAAGCCTAGTACCTGGGACAGCAACTGAGAAAAAAGGGTAATACAGAATATTATTATCCACATAGGAACACTTAGAAGAAACTGAAGATTGACTCCACATACTTGCAGGAATTAGTTATCCCTATTTCACAGGATAGAAGAATGGGGTACAGTAATCAAAGTCGTAACTGATTAGGCATTCCTACAGGTGGAGTTCTTTACTGGTACTATAATCTCAAAACCATTTTTATTGTACTGTTGATTGCTTTAAATCATGGTATATATTATGCTATATGTGTGTATTTCTCCACTATCCCTGTATGTTATTATTTGGACATACATAGGTGTC